TGAACTTCTCCGATCAAATGGGAAGTAAAGCGATAAGCTGAACCCCGTCACGCGAAGCGCTGAAACCTTCGTCACTCACGTCAACGTTGGGCATTCGAACGCTCATTAGGCTTTAACTTTGAGCTCCCCTAAAAATGTCTAGATGCCACAAGATGAATGGCAACGCACCTTACTGTAAGTGTGCAGTGGATTTGACATCATACTGATGCTGCTTGGCCCGCTCCAGTTGATATCCAGTTAGCGAGTAAGCGCGTTCTACAGGATGATGTATCAGGCACGTGCGGGTCAGAGCGTTGAACTGATTGTTGGAGTTGATGCGGTCTCCCGTAGTTAGACTAGTCAGCCCTCGAAGATAGTCACTGCAGGAGCTGTGAAATCTACCGCAATGATAGGTGTCACTGTCCTAACTGTGCTCGGCTGGTCACCGGTGACCTGACGCCAGTGTAAGTGCGTTGATACATGAGAGCGAACGTCACTGTGCAGTCAAGTGTTTAAGTCAACGTGTCACCTCGAACTCTATAGGTATGAGAACTCAAGGGCAGAAAACTCGTGCATTGCAGACTAGATACAGAGAAGTCCACTCTATGACAACGAGGTATGCGTTGGAGGAATCCTGCGTAGTACGTACTGGATGCGACGGGTCCAATGTGCTAGGAGATCAAAAACAGATCTCTCTTCATCGTGAGCCACTCGGGAACGTAATTTCCAGTTGCTGAAACCCTGACGTATAACCTGGAATCGAGAAAAAACTTCATCCATGTTTGGACGTTGTGCTGGATCCGAGTGCATCATGTCCGATACCAGACCGCTCAGAAATTCCACACCTGTGTAGTCCTGTTTTATGCAAATCAGAGCATAAAAAACCAGAAGTCACTGTTACACTTTACGTCGAGAAACGTTTCTTGGATGGCATGCCCAAGATACCAAACATCGGTTGGGAAAGGGTTCCTAGGTTTGAAGTTGTCTTCATTGAATTCAGGTACGTCTTTATCTCCACCAAATATCGGTGCTTCTAACGGGTTGGTGTTGGACGCCTCATATTGGCGGGAGATACCAAAGTCTATGTAGTAGTATCGTGGAGGAGACTTTGTGCGCGCACGATGCCTCGCCACGCGTTTGTAGTCCTCCGACATATACTGGTCGCTTGCATGCCATGCGTCTATGAACATACTGTCATCCATTAGGATGTTTAGCTGCATGCAATCTCTAAGCCCAGCCCATGAGACAAGTCACTGGAGCAACTTGAATGCGTACCGGTGAGCGACATGATGCCTGTGCATGAAGCGCAGCCCCTTCAATTTAAAGAAAGTGAAAATAGATCAGTCATAATCAGTCAATTAAGAAGGCCTTACCTCAAAAAGCTGGTGGATGCAGTCTACAACTTCCCCGACCGTGTCAAAATAGGGATCTGTAGCATCTCGAAGTAACGGCATGACAATTATCACAGTGTTATCTTCGGCGGGCACCGTCAGAACATCGTAAATTGGAACGCAATGGTTGGCTGGATCACTGCTAAGAGGGTGGGTAGAAAAATAGCGACCGATTTCTATCTCATAAGGGTGTCGTGATATATCGATACGCTTGAGTGATACGCGAGCACCGTCTTGAATGCGCCGTGCATCCAACACAAGGTAATGCTAAAGGAGACAAGGTAATTGATGAGCACTGCTATTATCAAAGTACCTACTGGTGACGCGATTCCATCCTCGCAGTTTATGTCAGCTTTGTTGGTGTTCGTCCAAGAGGGGACCCAATCTGGACTGTAGCGACTTCGCAGCTTATAACCCTTTTCTGTGAGGAATTTGTAGTGACCCCTCCACCAAATCTCATATTCAGAAAGATGAGAATGAGCAGCGGAGGTCGAGGCCATCCTCAGAAATCTGCCCGAGTTGTGGTGTAAACTAAAAGTAAAAAGTGTCAAAGCGATACAGAACAAATATGGACCTACATATGTAATTCGGACCCCGGCACTTCGCGGACTTTAGAACCAACTTAATGCTGTAGCAGGCCAACGTGAGTCGCCATGACCCCATGTCAAGTTACGTCTCAATAATTCATATATCCGGCTGAGTATAGGTATCTGCAAAGTACCCTGATAGGGAACTCTTATCCGAATGACGAAAATATCCTATTGTATTGTTCCTTCTATCTTGAGGATTACATGAATCCTCCGAGTCATCGACAAGGTTCAAGCTCAAGCATCAGGTTTATAGCAGCTGCTTGTTGCCATACTCACATAATCTTCCCTCGAAGGAAACGAACTTGTTATCTTTGCCCTCCGAGCCTATCATCATCAATCGCTCGCACGAGTCTTTGTATATAACCAAGAAAATCAGCGCAACAGATTGCCTCAGCTCCCGTCGGTCGATTTTTAGTTATATCCCATGTCTCCCCCAATGGCTAGCACAACAGTTCGAATATCCGCGAACTTTGGACCTGCGAGCCAATTTGAAAACTTACCTGCGACTTTCATCCAGCTGAAGGGCCGGACAGCTCACGAACAAGGCGATATTTATCTACAATTATCGCTGACAGCCCTGCGAGAGCTGGCCGACTTGTTGGAAAACGATCGTCTCTCAGCAACTGACAAAGCTACCTACAATCGAGCTTACACCGCTGGAAAGTTTCAATATGATCAGTGAGCTTTTTCACCTAGCCAAAAGGGTTTGCTATACTCACCCATCTCTACAGAGCGGTAAAACTCAGAGACCAGCTCCAGATGCGGAAGAAATCTTTCCGCAAGTTCATTGTCAACCTTTTCGTCCGTGAGTCGGATGCCAAGCACTTTCGTAAAGTCACATATCGGGTTTATAAGGGCATCAAAGTAAGTTCACCAACCGTATATCGGGCATATTGAATTGCAGTTGAATCGCCATACAGAGAACTTCAGAAGACCTGGCCAGACGTTTGCTGCCGGAAAAAGATGATACCCTTGGTATGTTAGAAGGACAGTACGAGTTCCCTTGCTGACTGTTGGCCAGTATTTGGAAGCCCAGGGGAGTCCACACAAGACCACGCCTCTGTTTTTGAGGAGAGTCTGTGTGTTGAGGTAGAAGGTATGCATCGTCTAGGCATTCTATAGCAGAATACTGAGCATATTTTATACAAAGGCAGTCTTTCAGGTCGGCTCTATAGCTCTTTCCCTTCGACCATATCTCACATGTAGTGGATTAGTCACCGATCTTCCTCCGAACGAAACCATCCGAGGCCTTAATGTGGATATACATAATGAACAAGAAGAACAAGAGGTCTTTGCGACGCTTAGTCGAATAGCAAAAGCTAGAGAGGCAGACGGAGAAGAAGAAGAAGCAGAATATGATGATCAAACCACCAGTATGCCATTTTTTTTTCAATTATCGTCCATGATATGACTCAACAGGTTCCTTGATTTCTCAGTCAGACCCTCGCCCTCACACAGTAGACCGCCATCTCCTAGCCTTAGTTGCGCAATCAGTATTTTTTACAATATCAACCAAAGCGTGGTGTCTTTTGATTCAGAATCGACAGGAACAACATTGAATTTCGGAGTAAATGAAGGTTTGTCATGTTCGCTGCCGATTTCATCCTGCGATGTTCAACAACAATGACAGAGATCGGTTCTGCTCGTGGTTGAACGTTGAATACTGGATACCAACGTCTCAGTTGGAATATTGTTTTGATGGTTGTGACACGTCCAATATTATGTCTAGTCGGCAGTGCTGTACCAGTAATATATCATTGACTGGGCATTCGTGGGTCTCTGGCTACTAGAAAGTCGTGACGATGATGATGATGAGCGCGGGCACCGTAATTACGTCTTTACTTCCAGTGTCAGTTCGAACTCCGGCATTAATGATGTTTCACACAAGTGTCAGTTGAACCAGTTCCCATTCCGCGAGGCGGGAAAATAGGATTTATTCTCGAGGAGCGATGATTGATCAAATTTGAAATGGCACATTGTTCTTGGCGATCCACGTAACGGGCCCGTCAAGTATTTTGTATGGATCTTGTACTTAGGAAGTGACAAGGTACTACTGAGTACTGATCGATGATCTGTTCCTTGTTGAATTCATGGCTACTTCTGGGTATTATTGTCCTCCAACGCAGCCACAGAGTTTGTCTTTCGTACTACATTGACTAATTAATGGTTCAGCGGCGCCCTGGTGTATGCTATCACGGTCCCAGATGCTCAAGTGGCACAAAAATCTCCCCATCTCAAATTGGCGCACAGTCAGACTGGTTACGAGTCTAACCGTCTCTAACGTGAGATTGATTAAATGCATTGCAGATCAAATAATGATCTGATTTGTATGTCGCGACTGAACATGAATATACTATAGCTTGTACTATCGTTGGGCCAGAGTAAATCTGAACCCCGACCCGGCAAACGGTATACGATGCCATGAATTTTTTTGGTTAGAAACTTGGTCAAGTTCCCCTACGTGAAACAGGTGCTTCCATCCACGTTCTTATTACATAATATTTTCGTTCTCCGTTTCAACGATCTTCATGCCATCAAACTGGTTGGTTTGTGTACTTTACAGGCTTGTGTGCGCTGAACGTGAACAGAGAAAACGGCACAACAGCTGCCACTGGGTGCTGGGAGGCTCGAAACCTCAGTATCTTGTCACAGTGTGTCACAGTATGATCTTCCGGTGAGTTTTCACCCACAAGAAAAATCATGCAGCGATTCATTTTTTTCATCGCTAGACATCAGTAACACCATATACTTCAGTCATGGTTAACCTCGTCTACAGTAAAGTAGCCCAGAAGGAGCAGAATGGACAATTATGTCCTCACGCCAGGCCTCATAATGTACTGTAACTTCGTCTGGACTTCTGTCACAGTTGGCGGGAAGATCCTGTTTCGTCAATGATGAACATATGACGTTGATCGGGGCAATAGGCACCGGAAGAGTTCTCATACCAAAACCATCCTCAACGAGCCACTTATCATGAACTTCGAGTCTCGACCTATCATGTCACAGAAGTTTCGGCCACTATAACCACGTGCATCGAAATTTCTCATGTCTCTGTTCCGCCAGCACCTCCGAGGAGGCCTGTGGATCATTGTGTGTCGAGAAAATAACACCAGCTGTTTGTATACATTGCAATAGTCATGATGCAATTCTCACCTTGCGAGGCAGGAGGAGTGCTCCTGAAACTTGTTGTGTTGTGGATAACGACAGATGTTTCCGCCACTGAGTCCGATTTCTGCGCGATGCTAAAGAAGACATTGAAAAATACTGGAGACGTTAGAGTTTTACCCCCTCTATCACTATCCTCACAAATGCTGCTCACCAGAACGGCTGGTTTCTCCCTGTGGTGCGGAAGAAATGGAACGATCGTCGCAGCTAGGTACTCGACCACGGCAAGGGAAAGCCTAGAACTTGTCGTCCAGTTCTCCATCGATCTACTGGGGATGGTCGTCGCGCTTTGGCTGTCACCGTATTCCTGCCACACGGTCCAACCCATGACTTGGCTAGCCGTTATTGCCCTCCCTGTCCCAAGTCAACGCTATATGTGATGTTCCGTGCATCCAAGATTTTTATCATTAGCAAGAGGGCTTCATCAATATGCTCATACCCATTTAACATTTGTGTATGTCATATATCTACAGTATCACAAATTTATTCGCATAGGCTGATATCGATTCATTCAGGTGCTCCTAATAGTTTCTTCATCCAGCTTCAATTCACCAGGTTGCACCACTGGGTGACCTGGCCATCTATATGTTCATGTAAGTGGCGAGACCGTGACGTTACAGCTGCACTGTAGCATAGATATTCGATATATCGGCAACATTGACCTTCGTCATCGAGGATGCATCGCCGTATTTGATCTTTGGTAACAACGGGACAAGCCTACTTCGCTGTATCTCTGTGCCCTTGGTGCCAAAGTATCTGAATTTTTAAGCAGGGTGAGTGGTGATTCACACAATTGGACTTAGTTGTGACCTTAGACTCTCGTAACTCCAAGAATGGTTTGCTCGAACCCAGCTTGCTATCCCATTCAAATACTTGACGAGGCCCGGGATGTCGGTGCAAGTTTCCAACGAAGGGACCTGTGCAAGACCGTCGATAAACTGCTTCTCAAGTTGAGTATGATAGCGTGCTGCCCAAGCCATCGCACCGCTTCTGTCGAGACCAAGTTCCAGCATGATAGCAGTGATCAAGTTATGGTTTTCGTCCCCAGTTGCTTGCTCCCTGTTGTACGAGGCCATGTCCTATGAAAGCCTTCAGCATGCTGTCAACCACTCCTTGAAGATGACTTTACGTTGTCGATCACAATTAGCTCTACACCATATTGACGCAGTTCCACGATCATGGGGTGGTAGAACACTTCATCAGGAAACTCCATACTCATTTCATGTATTGTGAGAGAAGGTGCAGCACCAGATGTATCCCGACGGAGCTTGAGATAGTCATCGATACTGCGGCAATGACTATGGTCGCGGTCCTCAGCTTCGCCAACTACTGCATGAAGGTATGCGGTGCAGCTGTCAAGGAAATGACGCTGAAAAGACTGGCTAGCGGTCTGGATTGCACGAGCCCAAAATCTACGCACAGATACCTTGAACATTAGGTATTTCATCAAACAATACAATTTGTGGATGCTTACTGTCGCATGATTTCACCCAGGATACATTCACCTTCCGGTCGCATCTTATGAGGATGGTGTAGGGCATCGAGTACAATGTCCACCATTTCCTTGGTGACTGCTGCATTTTCTTTGTCGCTGTACTCGTCAAAAATGAAGAAGACATTCATCAAATCACAGCCGATTCGAAGGTGGTCTTATAAAGTAGGTGGTAATTTAAGTGGTGCATGGTTTGCCGGTGCCGAAATACACACCTCTCGGTACATTCGGATAAGCAAGTGCTGCTAGTCGGGCTATAAGCACAAAATGTGTTAGCCATTTTCAGAATGAGAGCTAGATATTGGTCCAACCCATATCACACTTGTTGAATGCCTCCTGTGACTTGGGGTCCAGAGCCCTGAAATCACGGAACGCAGCATCGACTTCCGTTTTCACATCCTCGAAATGAGGGTTGATGGCACGAGGCCAGGGCCAGTTGACCATGGTGTCTGGAAGGTAAAACATCATCTTTGCATGAGCATCCATGATTTCCAAATTATGGTTTCCAAAGATAAGTGCGGGCGTTTACAAGAGGAGAGATATTATTGCTGGGTCAGTCCAGTAGTTGCAGCAGAGCTTATATACCCTTCCATCAGTGTTAGTATTCTCCTGATCCATCAGAGAGTATCTGTATTTAGAGTTTTACCAAGCTATAATTATTGACCGTAGAGTACGGGTGCAAGAATCACAGTGTTGAGTACCAGTAAACGGATTCGGTGACTCTGTTCACACGCCAACTCGGCCCTGCAGACTCCGGCTAGCAGCAGCTAGCTAACATGTAGCTAGTATAAGTATTACGATGAATGGTTTTCACTGCGGCTGAGTCGGACTGACTAATGCGGCTCAGGCATTACATATAGTGATTGACACCTCATTGAATACTGAGCAGACAAAAGGCATGTCAGTAATCATGAATGTGGATGGAGATGTTGTAGATACGTAGGTAGAAACGAAGTTCAATGAATACACGCTAAACTTTTCCGATCAAATGGAAGTAAAGCGATAAGATAAACCTTGTTGCGCGAAGCGCCGAAACCTTCGTCCACGACTCTACGCTGGGCATTTAACGTTTAACTTTGAGCTTCCCTTTTTATGTAAAAATGTCCGGATGTATGATGAATAGCAATGATTGGAAACTGTAACATTACTGTAAGTGTGCAGTGGATTTTCAAACCTTTACTGGTATACCAGCTGTGGGGCATATAAAAACTCTTATCAAAGGGACCCTAAAGGGGACCCTTCATACTGATGCCCCTAGCCTGCTTGGCCCGCTTCTAGCTGGGATCGCATATTGTCCGGTTAGGACGTCCTTGTAAATACAGTTCTAGGACCGCTAATCGGTACTGCTGCTTGGCACGCGGCGATCAATTCCCCGACTCCGACACCAGTGCAAGACTAACACATTGTATAGCTATCAGCGGGTTGGATTGTGCTACAGAATGCTACAGAGCACTCTGTAGTCGTTTCCCTGAGCACCTGCACATATCCACTAGACGGAAAGGCGCTTGTGAGCGTCATCTAGTACGAAAAACGATGCAGCAGTGTTCCCATTCAATGGTCTGCTCCGCTTCTCTAAAACACGATCAATCCTAATCCTACAGTACCAGAAACCAAAGACCAGGCTCCGCTTCCTCCTGTGCTTAGTCCTGATGCAGCACCTGAAGTTGTATACGTGGATGTGGACGAAGGTGAAGTACTGACAACAATAGAGGTTCCTGCACGGGAAAAATTTGAGAGAGTGCGGGACAGGTTTTGATCGGGGAGAGTGAGTTGTTGGAGCGAATAGCCATTATCGGAGCATGTGAATCTAGTATTGATCGGGCGTTCGGCTCAAATGTGCTTTACTTGTATGAAGCTGAGCTTACCGTCTGAATTGGTTTGTGCCTGTCTATAAAATGTCATACCCGATGTATTGTCAATGCATAAGATGCAGCTGTAGTAGCTTGTTTCAAATGACTGAGTGCAACATACGGTCATCAGATGAGTGAAAATCGGCTTCAGCGGGTTTGCTGCCACCCTAAGTCCTTTCCTTCTGGTAGCGCATCTCCACTGTGTTTCGTCTCGAATGATATTCACGATGAGCTCCGAGCAATGCAACCCAAGCGTCGATGGTCCCTGGACAACTGCAATGTCGAATCCATGCCTTAAGACTGACACTTGGCATATTGCATATATTGCCCCGAGGATTCTGGAGAAATGACCACGTTTGTAGGGTAAGTGCACAGGAGGAATAAAGATGGATGCTGGCGGAGTGATTCCAGATATACATGACGAGCGCAGCCTATCCAGCGCATGCTGCAACGATGACCCAAAGAGAAATGTCAACTTTTCGGATGCTAGGGTGAGCATGCCACGCAGAGGGCTGTGTATCTAGTGGCTTCGCTGGACCTCCATACGTGTCTAGGTCAGACACACGACACATGCACCAGAAAGTAGCGGGGATCGATTGCGTGTGGTGGACAAGTGCGGGGTCGAAAGGCGAGGAGCTCCACGTCAATATTTTGGCAGCCCGCATCCCTGACAATGCGATCATCACCTGGCGGAGGAGTGCGACACCCAAAATGAGGGGAGGAAACCTTGTGATGGTAACACCATCATAACCTGCTGGTATCCATACTATAAAGTTCATACATACGACGAGTGAGGCCGAGCTGTAGGATACAATGAGAAGGACAGCCGAGATACCGTTAAGCAAGGTGCCGTTAGGGTTGTACCATCCATGAGCTGCGGTCAGAGGACGCATATTGGTGTTGAAACGAAGCCGAGACTCTGAGGCCAGCGCAGAGCGCAATGAGATGTCACGGACGAAGCCTATAGACTCAGTACATAACGTGACGATTAAGTCAAGTATCAGGGTCAATATCTCCGCCTGCAGCGACAACTGAGAAGACTTCTCAGGACCGACCATGTTGAACGGGGTTGTTCCCATGATTCCGTGATTGGCTAAAGCGACAATACCTGCAATGATGCATAAGCAGCTAAAGATACCTGTACATGCCACTCCGACAAGGGTATATCTTTGACTCGTCAGACTGCGGTCGTAGAAATCGGTTCTAGCATCAGCAGTAGACTTCGCGTCAGATATTATCGAGTCAAAATCATAGTGACACGACAGGAGTGCGTTGTGTGCAAGAAGGCTGGATGGATTATTCTTTTGTGGAATTGGAAGAAGCTGCTATGGGGCGCAGAGACAGGAAGGCCAAAGCATGATAGACACGCGGATTAAATGTATTTCATTTAAGCGTATAGCCAATAGCCTCCAGTGCACGTGGCTTCGTGATGAAAGAACAGTCGTGCGATATGGTCGACTGTAGTATTCGTATGTATCCGGTGCAGCGTTGATTTACATCGCATTGCAGTGCGGCTGAAAGTGTCAGGATGGTGAACAATGAAAGCCAGTCACTAGTCGAGACTAACCTTCTTGTAATGTACTGCACATATGCCCGTACACACTGGCAGACTGGCTGTCTGTTAATCAAGAGAAGCGATAAGCAAGGATGAGGCCACTCGGCATCCTGAAGCACATCGCTGGAAGCAAGGTAGTACCGCAGCGCTCAGATGGTGCATATATATGGGGTCCTAGTACTGGGAGTCTGTGCATAACTATGCCAAGCTGGTTATCTAAGCCGGCCGAGGAACGAGGCCGGCAAAGATTTTAGTCTACGCGGAAGTTAGCGAGGTGGCGCAGCTCTTCTTGCTCCTGCCCACCTCGCAGCCTTGCCTTATTCTGAGTTTTGGCTACTCGTTTATACGTTTTTGCATCTATTTCGTCAGTTATAATGCTCACGCAGAACCCTAATGAAGCCATAAGGCCAGACTTCACGACTCAAGAGCACGAAGAGGTGCGTCAGAAGCTCATTGACGAAGGTTTCAACGCCGACCAAGCAGCTCGCTCTCTCTCAGCCCTGTGGACCCTGACCAACAACGCTGATAAAGAACGTTGGGCCCTCGAACAACGGCGCTGGCACGAGGCTGAACGGAGAGAAGAGGAAGAAGAAGAAGAACGCAGGCAACTAATCAAAGACGAACAAGAGGCCGCTCGCTTAGAGGATAGAAAGAAGAACAAAAACAAATATGCGCCTCTAGTGCGAGGGAAGGTACCTTCTGACCCAACAATCATCCCTGCGCAGTACGCTCTAAGGAAAATGAAAGCGGGGGATTATTGCGAGTTGCACTACTTCACCAACAAGGGTCTAGAAGACGCAAAAGTTTCGAACCTCTTAGCAGAACCGGATGCCTTAGTGATGCTACCAGCCGCAGATGGGCTACACTCATGGGTTCCTGCGGCGGCAGTCAAGGATCCAAAGTCTGCCCCCATCGTCAAAGATGAAAATCTTTCGTGGGAAGACTTCAACAAGGCGGCACCACGCATGATCGCTTCAATGAAACTACATGACTGGTCTGACGATCGAGTTGACATGCATATTCGATTCTGGTGCGCGCTACAATCGCATTGTTGGCGTCATGCCCCAGATATGCTCAAACAAAGAGCATTGCTACTCTACCAATCGCAACAACATCGTCGCTGGCACATGACTATCGGTGTAGAAACAACAATACAGAGAGGGGCTATACGAAGATGGCCCCAACTGATATATTTGTGTTGTGGTCTTTGCACTGCCTAGTCTGCTATACTTGCCTGACAAGTGCGTTCGACACAGGGGTCTGCGATCTGGGAATAGTCTTGGGGGTAAGTGAGTGATGTGTGATCAATAGTCCGAGCGCGGGAAACAATGTCCGAAGGTATAATTACGATGTCCGATGCAAAAGCGACGGGTCCGATGTTTTCGGGGTTTCGGGTTATCGGGTTCGGGTTCGGGTCTTTCGGGAACTAATAGTAACGCTATAGCGAGCGTTGGAAGAGCGAGCGGTGTGCGCAATAATAACAATGACTGATACGGATAATGAAAGAGCGATGATATTCGCAATATCAACTAAGAACTACGAAATATCGGGTTTGACCACTAAGCGTCGGGGAACTGCTCCCCTCTACTTGGATAATGAATAATGCTCGAGGTCAGTCCAATATATATGTAAGTACGTAGAAATGCGGAACCCGTAGGCGAAAGTAGCGGCGGAGTATTTCGGATCCGAAGTACATGTAAATAAACATGAGGCGCTGCGGACTATGGGAAAACATGTAATAGCGCTGGCTACGACGTGAGTAATGTGCGAAATAATGAACTACACACCTAGTGGGGCTAGCAAGACAGGATGGGACACGGATAGGACAAGTGCGTGGGAAAACATCGGGTCCGATGCGGCCTAAACGTCGGGTTGGCGGGTTAGCGTCAGATAACATCGGGAAGTGATTAGCATGTGACGGGTATTTGACGTGTACTGTAAAATAGCTCGATACGAGCCCAGCGCCAGCTCGTGTCCTACATTGGTATGGCTCAGAGCTGGAGTCTAGAAGAGCTCAATCGGGATCTCATCCTCGAAGCTCGGGAAGAACTTTTCAACGAGAAAAGAGATAAAGATACAGCGTTAGCAATCCGTCAGTACCTTTTCATTTACTTTCACTCAAAGGTCAAATACTCAATCAACTTCTCGGCTTCTTCATCCCTTCATAACAACTTTGCGAATGTTTCATATAATTTAAAACTCTCACCCACTGTCGGCCAATCACGCGCCGACATGGTAACCACCGGCCTTTGTGTTGCAACGCGCTCACTCTGGCACCACCCACCGGGATTTCATCATGAAAATCCATGACCATCATGCGTCATCCCTCACTGGGAACCTCTCGCATCAACTACGTGATTGCCACGCACATACCTCGTATCACACGATCGGTAACTTGCTATCTGTAACGTTGGAACTCCTCCTACAGAGCAAGCAGCAGCTACTTTCACAGCCAACAACCAGCACCTCTCACAAATGCCATCGCAGCAGGTCGTGACGTCACAGAAGCGCCCGCACCCCCCTGCGGAAGAAGCCACATATAGCAACAAGAAGGTACGACATCCTCGTCCTCCTGCTGCCGCAGGCACATTACCTTGCTGCGCAGTGTGCTTGGGAAGAAACCCGCATCGCACCGTGGAATGCGCCGCCTCTCATACGTGGGACAACCAATTCGAGACATTTGCCGAGCGCATCCGCAAGGGTCTTTGGACCAAAGATGGAAAACAAATCTGTACAGCTTGGCAACGCGAGGAAGGTTGCACCACCCCCAAACATGATGCACGTCACGTATGTTCGGGATGCGGAGCAGCCACTCACGGCGCTCAAAGATGCCCTAGAGCTCAGAAAGCTGAGACCATTGACACCGTACAAGGTTGATGTGTGGAAATGAGAACTTCGAAGAGCCGGTTTACTTGACCGTTTCGCTAAGATACCAGAAGGTCTTCTTTTAGGTTTCAAAATAGATTTTCCTTCTATCAGAACTGTACAAGCGCCTCCAAACAGAGATTCTATTTCTGAATACTCGATTGAGTTTGATACCATCATTCAGAAAGAATTGCGCAAAGGCAGGTACATAGGGCCTTTCCCAGCATCGGTCTTGGAAAGTCTTATAGGGCCTTATCAATCGTCACCGCTATCAATCATCCCAAAACCGGGCAAACCAGGAAAATTCAGGATCATCCAGAATTTTTCGTATCCACATTCACCCAATGTTTCTTTCCCAAATCCGTCAGTGAATTCCGCCATTGAGACCAACGATTTCCCGACCACATGGGGAAAATTCTCCATCATTTACCAAATCATCGCGAACCTTCCTCCTGGCTCCGAAGCAGCGACAAGAGATGTCGCAGAAGCTTACCGAACAGTACCACTCCATCCATCGCAATGGCCTGCTGGCGTCGTACGAATCTCAGACTCTCTTTTCTGCGTAGACACTTGCATAGCGTTTGGGGCAGCTCCATCTGCAGGGGCTTATGGCCATGTAGCAGATGCGGGAGCCGAGATTTTCTGATACAATGGAATCGGCCCTTTAGACAAATGGGTCGACGATTATATCTTCTTCAGGATCAAGCTCGAATTCTTAGACCAATACAACAATTTCCGAAAGAATTGGAACCAATCCTTCGCACAGGAAGGTATGCGCCAAACAGGAAGCTGTCTTTGGTTTGGCGGCATGTGCACAGACACAGGAAAACTTGAGGAACTGAGCGAAGACTGCTCGAAACCGTTGCAAGATTTTTCAAAATGATCTGCTAGATCTGACCATGACAAACATTTTAATTGCAACCTGCAAGACATAGATGTCTTGTCAGAGGAGCTAGGTATCATCTGGGAACCGTTGAAAGATCAGCCTTTTCAAACGACTACGGTACACTTAGGTTTTGTATGGAACATTGAGAACAGATCAGTATCATTAAATTCGGCAAAAATCGACAAATATCTTGCGGCAATACACAAATGGCGCAAGCGGCGAGCGCACACGCTCCAAGACATTCAGGAACTTTATGGAAAGTTATTACATACATGCGAAGTGGTACCTCGAGGCAGAGCGTATTTAACGAGCCTTGAAGCAATGCTCTCACACTGCAGCGGGAAGCCGTTTCTCCCACATCGAGCAGGAGACAGAGTAGCAGACAACCTCAACTGGTGGTCCCATTTAATCCAATCCAGAGGTGTAACGTGTCCCATCCTCCCCATAACAAAGCTAGAGAACCCACTAGCATTCTCGGACGCGAGTTCAGGCATAGGAATAGGTCTAGTAGTCGGCGAGCACTGGAGAGCGTGGAGATTGATACCCGGTTGGAAGACGCACAATGGCAAACGTGACATCGGATGGGCAGAAGCTGTGGCTTTTGAACTACTCGTATACACTGTCGCCGCTATCCCTAACATTAGCAACCGCGTCCTCATCCAGGGAGACAACATGGGCGTTGTTGAAGGATGGTGGAGACGGAGGCACAGGAATCACGAAGTTAATGGAGTTTTCAGGAGAATCAGCGAATT